ACTTAGCCTCAATTTCATCCTGAAGAACAGGTCGTCAATTGTCCTACTTTTCACTCACGAAATGAACACTGAGTAGCACTTTTAGCAGCCTTATCTCTTTGTGCATTACCATTCCTGATGCCAGATCTGGAAGTCAGCACCAGTTTGCGGGCTCCTCTTTCCGTCAGCCACTCAGCGAGCTCCAGGCCGAAGCCCCCCAGTCCGCCAGTGATGATGTAGGAGTTGGAGGCCAGGCAGAAGGTGCGACAGATTGCAGGAAGAGGTGAAGGGGAAGCAGTTTCTACTGCTCCACCTCTCTCCTCACAACGAACCTGTGTGAAGGGAGCAACTAATAAGAACTTTTAATTTTTGTTTTTGTAGTCTTTTTCACTTTTGATCTTACCACATATTTTATTCATTTTAAATCAGAAACCAACACGCACTTGGAGTTATTTTTCAGTGCTCTCTTCCTCAAATATGATGAGAGGTTGGTTCATTATGAACAATCTAGTGTCCTCACACTACACTAATGTCAAAGATTGAAGGTCAGAGAGACTAACCTGCAGGAGGACCTTCCCAATATGCTTGCCCTGAGCCATGTATCTGAATGCTTCCTCCACTTGGTCTCTCTCAAACACTGTTGTCTTTAGAGGTTGAACTACACCTCCCATGATGCCTTCCTTCAGCAGCTGGGACACTTCCTCCCACTCCTGGTTGCCCTCTTCAAACAGAGCATCCAGCAGGATGCCGTGGAACGCCACATTCTTCAGGAAAATAGCCATACCTGAAGAGATCACAACAGCATGATCACATTGCTCAGTGCCGGAGGGCCCCAAATTCAAATCACCAAACAAAGATTCATCACACATTTTGACAAATTGAATTTTTTTTTAAATTTTTTATTTTTTTGCCTCAAACTTGGCAAGCCATGTCTCGTCTCAAACTGACTTGCGCATAAAGCTAACAGTAATCAAAGTTAGAGAAGAGCACTGGATAGGAGGGCAGCACAAGGCAGGGCAGTGTGACCTGTGTCAATTTCAATTCAGTTTTATTTGTACAGCACCAAATCACAACAAAAGTCATCTCAGGACACTTTACAAAAGTAAAGTCTAGACCTTACCAATATTATTATTATTATTATTATTATTATTATAATAGAGGAAAAACAACAAATCCCCCGAGCAGCACTTTGTGACAGCGGGGAGGAAAAACCCCCTTTAATGGAAGAAACCTCCGACAGACCCCGACTCTTGGTGGGCGGCCTCATGTTCACTGGTGCTAACAGTCAGTGAAGCCAGCTCAGCTACTTCTGAAACTCCTCTACTGCTGTGTTCAGCTGACAGCGCAGGAAGATGATAAATAGTGTGCTAGGATTTTATTACTGAACTGTGTTGGGGACACAAGTAACTTTTATTTATACTTTGTGTATGTGCATTTTTGTGTGCATGTTCCAAACTTCAGCTTTTGTTACCCCACCTGGAAGCCTTTTGTTGGTACCGATTTTTCTCTGCCCATTTACAAGCAACAACTCTATTGAGAGAAATCATTTGTTAAGACTAATCATCTTCCACTGTAACATGTTTATTTGCTGCCTCCATTTGCCTTGAACAAAAAATACATTCTAAGCCAGAGCACATCTGCAGTTACTCCTGACGACTGACCATTTCACACCCACATATTTAGAACAGGCTGACACTCAACTGTGCCTATATTACTCCATGTCTACACTGGAGTCCTTTCAGCCAGTCAGTACAGCTGTGTACCTCAGCAGTGCATGCATGCATCCATAATACCGTACTTTCCAGACTATAAGCTGCTACTTTTGTCGCTTCATGCACACACCCTCATCAAAGACAACACATGACGAAATGCATATGATGCCGCTTCAAGATACAGGCGTTTGAGCTGGCTGTCCCCTCCTTTAACCGCCACCTTATTGTGTTGGAGGGGTTTGAGTACCCGAGTGATCCTAGGAGCTATGTTGTCGGGGGCTATATGTCCCTGGTAGGGTCTCCCAAGGCAAACAGGTCCTGGGTGACGGGTCAAACTAAGATCGGTTCAAAAGCCCTTTATGAATAGATTAAAATCAAGGACCGTGACGTCGCCCAGCATGGCGCAGCCGGGGCCCCACCCTGGAGCCAGGCCTGGGGTTGGGGCTCGAATGCGAGCGCCTGGTGGCCG